TTTTTTGCTAGTTGTAATTTTGAAAACGAAATGAAAAATAGTCAAATAAAATTAAATTTTGGTTCTTTCGCATTATCGGGGGGGGATCTTTCTAAAATTTAATTCTAATTTCAAATATAAACCCCCCTCCCCCCCTCCTTCCCAAAAAAAAAAAAAGGGGGGTTTTTTTTACAGCAACGTGTTGTTAAACCGTTTTTGGCTATTCATAAACGTAAAAACTTTACAAAATCTTATAAAAAAAGTGCAAAGCTCGATTTTCGACAAAAATGGCCGCTTTTGACAAAAATTTCGGCTTTTTTATAAGTGTTTATTTTAGATAGTTTTCTAGCTCAAATTTAGGTTTATTTTACTAAAAAACACCAACAAAATACGTCCTATTGGTTTTCTAGACATTCGTGGGCTTATACAAAAATTTTACCCCCCCCCATAATGCAAAAGAACCGTAATTTTTAGTGTTCTTGTATAGGCTTTTTATATAGAAAGAGGCGTTAAATGCATTTTTTTAGCTTTTTCAAATAATTTCCGATGATTAGTCTCCTTTTTTCAGAAGAAGCCTACGTGATGGGGCACGATTTCGAGGCGTTGGTGACGAAGAATCTGTCGACAAAGGACCTCGCCCAATATCTCGTCGACAAGACCAAGAAGGAGAACCATCTGATGCTGCACGAACGCCAGCAGCAGCTCGTCCAATCAAAGTGCGTTTTTCTTGCTTTCAAGAGCTTGCTCGGCTTGTAGATGATCCTGAAGAGAGGGTTGGAAATGACCTTTTTATGTTTTTATATTTCTTTGGCTCTCGAAACGCTTTTTCGGCAAGTGGATGATTTGGTAACGGCTTGAACAGGACGGGAAAATGCGTAAAAAGCACTGTAATGATTTTTATTCCTTTCTGCGTTCGAGATTACTTGTGCAATATCTTTAAACGGCTTGAAAACGGCGGCAAAACTGCATAGGATTAGCTCATTTGGCTTTCGAAGATTTTTTCGGCAAGTAGATGATCTTGAAAATCATCAGAAAATCGTGTATAATGCGCTTTAAAAACTTTTTATAGTTTCCTGTGGTTGTCCAAAAGCTTTTTCGACAAGTAGATGAGCTTCGAAACCGCTCGAAAACGATTGAAAAATCGGATATGTCGGGCTTTCTAAAGGCTTTTCGGCGACTAGATCAAGAAATGATTATGAACAAAACGGCTTGAAAATGAGCCAAAATGGCATAGAGCGCGCAATAATGTATTTTTTAGTTTTCGGGGTTTTAAAAGTTAAAAGTCTGCATAAGATAATTTGGATTTTTTTCAGACGTTTCCTCTCGGAGATGTTGAGCGTCTTCCAGTCGGGCGGCATCCATCCCCGTGACTATCATCGCCTGCACAACACCCTCGGCCAGGCCACCAATGCCGTCCAGAATTTTGGACTCGTAAGTTTTTTAAATTGAAATTTTGGAGAAAAACTGAAATCAAGTCTCAAATTTGTTTCTTTAGAATATTTTTCATTTTACTAAATTCTCATTTGCAGGTGACGCACGGCTTCGGCCCGTACGCCTTCTGCGCCGTCATCCAGGGCATGATGGGCATCTGCGACGCCGGCCTCAACCAGCTGGCCGCCGAGATTGCCGTCCTTGGGCAGCGTCAACCCCAACAGGTACAGGCTAGCAGAGATTTTTTAGGAAATGGGGTGTTTAGCGCAGATTCTTTAGGAGGGGTTGGCTAGCAGAGATTCCTCAGGAAATTGGCAGGCTAGCAGCGATTTTTTAGGAAATGGGCAGCCAAGAATTGGGAATTTTTCAACCAATCTTACTTCATAAATTTTTTTAAAAATTGGAATATGATTCTAAAAGATTTAAATATAAAAAAATAGTTTTTTATTAACAATATTTTTTCGAACAAAATTTTTGTAAAACGGTTTTTTGTAGAATAAGGTTCTAAAGAAGATTTTTAAATAGCTAAATTTTATTAAATTTTTTACAATTTTTGGCCTACGAATATTACTTTTGTTAATAAATTAAATTTTTGGTTTCAGCCCTCCCACCAGATGCCAATGTCGTTCTTGCCGCCAAACTTTGCGATGGGCCAGCCCGGTTTCCCCGGTGGCCACCCGATGCAGTCGATGTACCCGCCACAGGGCCAATGGCCCCTATAATTCCGTGTAGCTCCTCGTCTCCGTCAACAGGAGCCCCTCGTTATCGATGATGTGCTGAAAGCCCGGTCCGAGCCGGCGTTGAACTTGTCGACGTCGTTGCTTCCTCCTGAAATATGTATTTATTCTGTTTCCCCCTTTTTTGGCTAAATGCTTCTCCATTATCTATGCATATTTTTTTGCTTTTAAAGGGATTGGCAAGGCTAGGCTATGGATTTTCCGAATTTTTTCGGCGCGAAGGCAACTCGCCCCGAAAATCCGCCGCGTTTGACCAGCTTGAACACGTCGGGTGCTTTTGCATCGTCGGGGGATTTTATGCTATGTAAACAGAAATTTTAGTAACGTAAATTTTACAGAAACTTGAAATCAATCCAATTTTTAGTAAAATTTCTCTAAATTTTGTTTTAAATGGATAAAACCTCGAAAAAATTAGCACCCCCTGATAATGCAAAAGTACCGGGAATTGCGTAATTGATTACGCAAGGTAAAGGCAAAAATCTCCGAAAATTTATAGTCTTCTCTGCCTTGCCGTTCCCTTTAAAAGGCTTTTCCGCTAGAATTTCTCATTCCTGAGCCAAACCCGTAATTTTTCTATACCCCGTAATTGATACAGTACGCTACGCTACGTACCTTGCCGAACTTTAAGTTTGATATTGTTATTTTTTCTCCTTACGTGTACGCTACGCTACTATTTACGGGTCTTTAAAAGGAACTCTTTCTCCCCTCTGTATATCACTTCCGGTTCGCTTTCTGCCTTTTTCCTCCCATTTTATACGAGTTAATATAACATGCGGGATTATGTATCTGTCTGTGCCTTCCAAGATCTCTCCTGATCTCATTTTTTTGTGTATGTGTGATTTTGTCATGTTGCAGCGCGGGGTGCGCGCGCCTGGTTAAATAAAGATATGCGGTTCCCGATTTTTTACTACTTACACTCGAGCTATACATGGCGAAATTGGATATAATGAATGAAAAGGATTTTTTTGAGTTGCAAAGTAGATTTTTAAAGGTACTGACAAGCAAGAATGGTGGATTTTCCGCCGCGCGACACGCGACGCGGCCCGGATTCCATGGCGTAATGGATAAGTAGTGACGGCAGGTGCGTTGTCTACGTATCGCGGGCGTGGAAATAATAATTCTCGTTCCTTAAGCGTCCATTTACCGTATTCCTCAAGAATCACTGCTAGGTTGCCTTCCATCCAAATTTTGCCTCCAATTCTCTTGGCAATTGCGAGCTTTTTTCGAAGCCTGCTTTCCAAGCTTTAGCGAAAAATTCTCGCTTGCCTGGCCCTTAGCGCGGCTTTTCCTAAAAAATATTGCTGTCTTTATAATGATTCTCGTAGTCTGGAGATTTGTAGATTAGAAATAAAATGTAGAAAATTTATAAATTAATATAGTAAAATTTGTAAATTTTCTAATTTTTGCACTTTTCTAAAGTTAGAATCAAATTAGATCAGATTGAACTAAACATGAGGTGCTGTAAATTTTGGCTTGCCTGTCCCTTTCATAAATAATAAAAAACTAGTATTATTAAATATCTATGATCGGCGTGGTCTCCCGCGCGTGAAGGTGGATGCCCCTCTCCCCCTAATATCCGGTGTGCTCTCCCGGCCCTCGGAAATGAGGAGATGAGGCCCCCCCATCCCCCCAAAAAGCCCTACTTTGGCGCCATGGCAACACCTAACATATCATCTTCTTCAACTCGCCCCCCCCCCCTGACTTTGGGTTGATTTTGGATATCGGTTTTGATGGAAATTTTTTTTATAGCAATTAAGAAAGGGAAATAGCTTGATAGGGGGCCTTTTAACTGCATTCAGCTTAAATTAATCGCTTTTGCAGTGAGATACTGAGCTAAATCGGGAGCTTTAGAATCTCAGCTAGAAATTTAAAATTTAGATAGATTTATAAAATTTTTTAAACGTTTTACCTTTCCAACCTTCAACGACGAACCACTATTGTTTATCCAGATTTTTTCCAAATAGTTTGGCTCTTGCAATTAACTTTTTTTTAGAACAAAAAAAGCATCGTGGTTTAGCAAAAAACGTTTGTATTTTCAGGCCCATCTGGCTCAATATGGAGCCGCCCAACGACGAGCTGCCCGAGCGACTCCATCAACGAAAAAACCGCATTCTCGAGAAATTGGTGCGTGTTTTTAGGATTTTCAGTTGTAAGAATAAGATGCATTGTCTCTTAAAGTCTTAAAGAAGAAATGCTCAATTTTTATTTTAGCGTTTAAATTTAAAAAAAAAATGGAATTTTAGTTCTTATGCATTACCGGGGGGGCAACTTTTTTCTAGGGTTCTATTTTTCAAATATAAATACAGAAATATTTTTAAATCATTTTTGCTATTCTTAAGCGTAAAAACTTTGCTGATTTCTAAAAATAAAAATACAAGAAATATAGATTCTTCGTGAAAAATGGTCGTTTTCGAGCAAAATTTCGACTTTTTAAAGTTTTTAGATGATTTTTCCACCTGAAATATCGTCAATTTTACTAAAAACGTTATGAAATACATACTATTACGTTACTGGGTATTTCTGGACAAACAAAAAATTACCCCCCCCCCCCCGATAATGCAAAAGCTCCTGATCGTGGAAAACTTGAAAATGAGGCCCCGATCCATTTCCGTACATATTCCCGCCCAATCCCGCCCCTTTTCTTTTTCATTCTTTCCTTTCCGCAGCCTTCCGCTTTTTCTGAATCGCCAGATGGGCCATTGTGTTGTGTGCCGTGGATGGGCCCTAATGAGCCATCTCTGCCAGCCGACAGAAATGAAGAGAGGATACCTATTCATAATTTGCCACACAGGCCCCCGGCCCTGCCAGCCACTTTCCACCCTATTTTCCCCTATTTTCTACTAGCTATTTTAAATGGATTGGGCCGCCGACATTTCCCCAACGACCGATGCTCGTTACCTCGCTCGCAGACATTGGGCCATCATCAGGAAGACTGTCGTCACCGATATTGATGATTTTCTATTTTTACTGGTAGAAAAGAGAAGTAGAAAAGTTTAAAGAATCAGCGCTAGCCTCCCCATTTCCTAAAGAATCTCTGCTAGCTAGCCAGATTCTTTAAAATCGTAAAAATCAACTTAAAAAACGTGAAATTTCTCTTTTCATTCAACCTTTTCAGCGCCAGAGCCGCACCGCCCCGCTGCCCGACCCGGTCAGCGAGTTCAGCGATTTTGGGTAAGTTTTTTGAATTTAATTTTGTCACTCAATTATTTTTTAGGTTTGATACGAACCGCTCCACTCATCACTTGCCGGCGCCGACGGCAGGCGTGCAGATAAATGTAAGTTTTCTCGTGATCACTCTCTATCTCTCTCGCTCTCCCTCGCTCTCTCTGTCTATCTGACTCTCTCTCGCTCTCGCTCTCTCCTCCCTCTCTCCCTCCACCTCCTCGCCCTCCTCCTTCGTACTCGTCGCTCTCTTTCTCTTCTCCTCTCTCTCCCTCCCCCTCTCTCTCGCTCTCCCCCCCTCCCTTTCTCTCCCCTCTCCCCTCTCTCCGCGCCTCTCTCTTTCGTCTCCTCGCCTCTTCTTCCTCTCCCTCTCTCTCTCTCTCACTTTCTCTCTATCTCTCTCTCCTCTCTCTCTTTCTCTCTTTCTCTTTCGCTAGCTCTCTTCTTTCTCTTTTTCTTTCTCTCTCTCACTCACTCTCTCTCGCTTTCTCTCTCTCTCTCTCTCTCTCTCTCTCTCTCTCTAGCTCTCCCTCGCCACCTGGCGTTTAAAATCGAATTTTTTAGGTGGAACCGGACAGCGGCCGCACGGCAGAACCATCGGCAAGGGAAGGCGAGCTTGGCAAGAGGTACAAAAATCCTGCATTCATTTTTATGCGATTTCTAGCCTTCACAGCCTTGGCTCGTCCCTTCTACGACGGCCCTCCGAATCGCCCAGCTTGCTGTCGGCCAGCTTCTCCTCAAGTAAGGTCGATCACCTAGACTTTATAATCCCTGTAATTTAGCCGGCCCGCAATCCCCGGGCGCTGACGACGATGTGAAGTCGCAGATCTCGTTCGTCATGCGCGAACGGCTGCACTCGTTTGTCAAACAGGTCAGGGAACTAGCAAAGATGATTTCCGGGTTCTTTCGCATTATCGGGGGGTACAAATTTTTCTTAACGGCCCGGCCCCCCAAACCAGAATTTTTTTCATTTCCCCCTTTTTTTTCAAACAGGAATAGAAGACGCGTTCTAAAATATTTTCGCGTAAGCGTAAAAACTTTATAAAATTTGATTAGAAAGTTACAAAAATAGCAATTTTTGAACCAAAAATTGATAGATGTTAAGTTCAAATCAGCTAAATTTCAACAAAAAAGTTTTTTCTGGGTTTCTGTCGATTGTTTTTCCACTTGAAATATAGGTACATTTACTAAAAACCAGATAGGAAAACAGGTTCGCAATAAACTCTCCCCCCCCGATAATGCACAAGAACCCAAAAATTCCGAATTTTCAGATGGAGCGTCGTACATCGGCCGTCCGAGAGAGTCTCTTAAAAGAATCGCTCGATGAGGAGGCATCGCAGAGCGTCGCGAGGTAATTTAAGTTTGTTAAATTACAGACAGCTTTGCTTTTGGTGGCATACTAAAGGTATTTCAAAGTCGAAAGCTATAATTTTGAATGTACATATTTATGTTCATTTTAATTATTTTTAACTTTTTAGCATGCCGACCCTGGAGAAGCGGCCGAGTCTAATGTCGCTGATCGGGTTACAGGTGAGAAATTCGGCTCTCGAAGTTCAGAAAAAATTCTTTAGAAAGCCGAAGACCAAGAAGTTGCGCGAGAGGAGGCAAAGGGTGGCTGGCTACCGTATTCGATTGATCCATACGGTAATCTTTTAAAATTGCTGTTTTTTGAAGATTTTAAAGATAGGTTTTGAAGAAGGGTAGAGGATTTGCTATCATAATGTCGGAATTCAAATGTCAAAATTCAAAATCTCGAAATTTTTTTGCATAGGTTTTATTTTGCAATTTTCACAATTTTTTGCGTGTCGGCATTCTGAAATTTCGGCATCATGGAATTTCGGCATTAGGCAATTTCGACATTATAAGTCACGACATACGGATTTTCGACATTTTCAAAGTAACCGGTGGCGGACTAGCGGTGCTTCTTGAGGAAAATCGGCTTTTGAAAGGGGCAGGAAAACTAGGGTCAGCCTCCCGAAATTTCTAGGCTCTTTTTCGTTTTTTTTTTGGATTGAGCACCAGGTGAAGGGGTAAACAAGAGAATTTCGAAAGCTGAAAAGAACTGAGAAGATGATTTTCAGCTATCTGGACGCTAATTCTTACCCGTGATTTTTTTAGGTTTAAAAAAAATCTGATTTTCCAGGCAAATTCCACCTTGGCTGGCTGTTCGCCGTGACGACGGCGTTCCTCTACAACGCGCTGGGGATCCCGTTGCGCAGCAGCTATCCGTATCAGGTACAGATTTATCATTTTTGGGCCTATTTTCAAAACCCGAAGCACCGAAATTTGGTTTTCAGACGGACGCGAACGTGGTCTACTGGTTGATCGTCGACTACCTGTGTGACGCCATCTACCTGGCCGATATGATCATCATCAAGCCACGACTGCAGTTTATGAGAGGAGGCATTTCGATTGTAGGTTTTTGAACAATGGGCTAGATAGCAGAGATTCTTTAGGAATAGACATGCTAGCAGAGATTTTTTAGGAAATGGCAGACTAGCAGAGATTTTTTAGGAAAGGGCAGGCTAGCAGAGATTCTTTAGGAAAGGGCAGGCTAGCAGAGATTTTTTAGGAAATGGCAGACTAGCAGAGATTCTTTAGGAAATGGCAGACTAGCAGAGATTTTTTAGGAAATGACATGCTAGCAGAGATTTTTTAGGAAATGGCAGGCTAGCAGAGATTCTTTAGGAAATGGCAGACTAGCAGAGATTCTTTAGGAAATGGCAGACTAGCAGAGATTCTTTAGGAAAGGGCAGACTAGCAGAGATTCTTTAGGAAAGGACATGCTAGCAGAGATTTTTTAGGAAATGGCAGGCTAGCAGAGATTCTTTAGGAAAGGGCAGGCTAGCAGAGATTCTTTAGGAAAGGGCAGGCTAGCAGAGATAATTTTTCTGATTTTCAGGGAAATCGTCGCGACACACTGCGCAACTACGTGATGTCGGGCAGCTTCAAGCTGGATTTGCTCTCGATTGTGCCGCTCGATTTCATGTACTTCTACACGGATATCATTCCGATATGGCGGCTTGGGAGGTTGCTCAAGGTATTTTTTAGCGTTTTATTGGCTTTCCTAAAATCTCTGCTAGCCTACAATTTCCTAAAGAATCTCTGCTCGACCTTTTGTAGATTTTCTCGCTTCAATACCCCTTAAAAACGCTATTTCCAGGTACAATCGTTCTGGCAACTATTCGACCTGCTCGACAACTCGTTCTCCAATCCATACGTCATCCGTATCACTCGTACTCTCTCCTATATGGTCTACATTATCCACTGCAACAGCTGCGTCTACTACCTGTTGAGCGCCTGGCAGGTTTGTCGAACACTTATTCCGGTTCTTTGGCATTATCGAGGGGGAGGGGCCCGCGGAATTTTTTTGCTACAAGCCCAGAAATGCCTAATAACATCATAATAAATATTTTAATAGTGTTGTTAGTAAAATGTGGCTTTATTTCAAGTGGAGAGACTGTCTGAAAATTTGAAATTTTTCGCAAAAAATTGGAATTTTGGTCGAAAATCGGCATTTTCCGTCGAAAACCGATATTTTTTGTGTTTTTTGATCATAGTAAATATTTTAATGGTGTTTTTAGTAAAATGTAGCTATATTTCAAGTGGAAAAACTGCCTAAAATTTCAAATTTTTGGTAACAGTTCGAAATTCGGATCGAAAATAGGCCATCTTTGTCGAAAAATCCATATTTTTGTGTTTTCATCTTCAAAAATATTTTAGTTGTGTTTTTAGTAGAATGTAGTGATATTTTGGTGGTAAAGTTATCTAAAAACTTACAACTACTTTTAAAACTTCGAAATATTGGCCAAAAATTGAGCATTTTGGTAGGAAAACCGAAATTTATTGATTTTTAATAAAAATTCGTAACGTTTCTGCTTTTAGTAATATCCAGGAGCAGTTTAGGCCAGCTAGTAGTTGGTAGTCTAACGGAAAATTTGGTTTGGCAGGCTGCCTTCAAAACTCGTTTTTCAGGCGTTCGGCCAAATCGCGTACCAGATGAACGGCAAGTACTACCTCAACAAATGGGTCTACAATAATAAGGGTAATTTTTGGTTTTGGCTGTGATTTTATTAATTTTTATATCTAATTGTTTTTTGTTTTAAATTTTTGTGGATTCCAGGAAACGCCTATTTACGCTGCTTCTACTTCACGGCCGCCGTCGCCACGTCCACAGGAAATAACCCGGCGCCCACCAACGTCATCGAGTACATCTACATGACCTTCTCGTGGATGATGGGCGTCTTCGTGTTCGCCCTCTTGCTCGGGCAGGTCAGCTAGCAGCGATTCTTTAGGAAATGGCAGGCTAGCAGGGATTCTTTAGGAAAGGGCAGGCTAGCAGCGATTCTTTAGGAAAGGACAGGCTAGCAGAGATTGTTTAGGAAAGGGCAGGCTAGCAGAGATTCTTTAGGAAAGGGCGGGCAGAAAACTTTGAGGATTCCTTTTTCAGATTCGCGATATCGTGTCAAACGCCAACAGGAATCGCGCGGAATATCAGCGTCAAATGGACATGGCCCTGTCGGAGTGCAAGAAGCTCAACCTCAGCCGGGTTCTTATTATTAAAAATATTGTTATTACCGATTTTAGGACCTTGTTGAACGTGTCCGCGACTGGTTCATCTACACCTGGGAGCAGCACAAGACGCTCGACGAGAAAAAGCTCATCGAGAAGCTTCCCCTGAAGCTGCAGACCGATCTGGCCCTCTCCGTCCACTACAACACGCTCAGCAAGGTCAAACTGTTCCAGGTTTGTAGTTTTTTGGCGGAAAATAATACAAATTCATAATATAAATAGAAGAATTGTTCTAAAATATTTTTTTTGCTATTCCTAAGCATAGAAACTGTACAAAATTTGGTTATAATCAGACATGGCAATCCCGGCCGGCTCAGCCGCCCGGCCGAGCCGCCGGCCTAATTTCCATAAAAACCTGGCCCCATACGAGCCGCGTTAATGACTTACTTCCGGAAACCCGGCTTCCCGGCCCAGCCGGCATTTAGCTGCGGCCCGGCCAAGCCGGTCCGGCCGAGCCGGGAAACCGGAAGTTGCTCATTTACTTATAGAATCCGTGTATACTATGCAAAATTGTGAATGGAAATGACAAATTTTCTATGGTGGAATAGTTTATCCCTTGCCATAAAGCCAATTATTGATTGAATCCGCAATTTGCGTACCGGAAACACGAAAATTTCATTTGGGTCCGGCTTTCCGGCTTTTCAAAAGCCGGCGGCTTGGCCGGGGCTCCGGCCTCAAAACATAAAAAAGCCGGGGCCGGACCGGAAGCTCCGGCCCAGCCGCGCGGCTCGGCCGCATGCTAATTTTTCCGGCCGAAAAAAGCCGGCGGCCCGGCCGTTTGCCATGTCTGGTTATAATACAAAAATATGGATTTTTCGACCAAATTTTCAAATTTTCGATTTTTTTGCAAGTTTTTAAATAGGTTTAGCTTGAAATGTATTTAAATTTTAGTAACAAATATTTAAACACGATTAAGTGTTGAAATCCGGGGTTTGACACGTTTTTTAAAGGGATTCACAACCCAAACCCCCCCCATTTTCCAGGATTGCGATCGTGCCTTCCTGCGTGACCTCGTGCTCAAGCTCCGCCCGGTCATCTACCTCCCTGGAGACCTGGTTTGCAAGAAGGGTGACGTCGGCAAGGAGATGTACATCGTCAACCAGGGCGTGCTGGAGGTGGTCGGTGAGTTTCTAGCGATTTTTTTGAAGAGGAAGGGCCGGAAAATCGGTGAAAATCCAAATATTGCTCATTTTTTAATTTTTTGGGCCCGAAAAATCAGAAAAAATCCAGAGAAACTGTAGTAAATCTCAAAATACAACCTATAAAATCTCGATGGCAATTTTGCACGAATCAGGCGATAAAATCGAACTCGCAAGACGCTAATTTGGCACTTTTTTCTAATTTTTAGCGCGAAAAATTAAGTTAAAGCCGGGCCAACTAAAATAAACCTTAAAATATGAACTACAAGCTACGAAAATCGATGAATTCCGTTTTCCAGGCGGCAACAACAACGAGACGGTGTTCGCCCAACTCCAGCAGGGCAGCGTCTTTGGCGAAATCAGGTATAAAAGTTGATTTTTCTGCTTAAAATGTACTTTGTAGTCTGCTGGCGATCGGCGGCAACAATCGACGAACAGCGAATATTAGAGCTAAAGTGGGTATACCGTTTCTTTATGATTTTATACCTTTTTTTCCAGGGCTACGCGACGCTTTTCGTGTTGGCGAAGGAAGACCTGAACGACGTCATCCGCTACTACCCGCAGGCGCAGATGCTGCTCAAGCGCAAGGCGGCGTACGTTTGATACGTTTTCCACGCTCTTGACTAAGTTTTAAGCGCTACAATCTGTTTCAAAAACCCTGGAAAACGCATAGAAACCTTTTGTACGTTTTCTGGCCGAGTTCGAGCGTTTTCTGAGGCTTTACGAGTAAAAATATCCATTTTAGAGCCCCGTAAACCTTTAAAAAACTTATAATATATTTTCCCTACAGTTTTCTACGCTTCTTTTTTAGCTTTTAAATGGAAAATACACGCTTTAGAACCTTGTAAAACGTCCCAAAACTCAGCGCACGTTTTCTAAGCTTCTTTTTTAGCTGTAAAGAGAAAAATCAAAGTTCTAAAAACCCCCAAAAACCCGTAAAAAGGCCGCTGACGTTTCTAGGCGTTTTCTAGCGTTTTCTAGAGATCGACAAGTAATAATAAAGTTTTCAACACCCTGAAAACCCTGAAAATCCCACGCTTATCCAGGCAAATGCTGAAAAACGACAAGAAAGACGACGAGAGCAAGGACGAGAAGCCGCTCGAGGACACGTGCCGCATCAGCGGCAAGTTTTTCGGGGCTTTTGTTTAGGCTATGGAATACTTTAAAGCATCGAAAAACGTTATAAATAAGTTTTTTTTTCAGCCTCCTCGATGCCCCGGATGTTGCGCGTCGTCGCCGAGGCGATGCCCAAGGGGTTGAAGGCCACCGAGGAGCTGCAGAAACGATTGCGTAAGGTTTTAGCTTCATAAAAGGGCATTTATGTTTCTATTTTCGGACTGGAAAACCAATTTGAAAATCATAAAACGTGATAAAAGTAGCTTTTTAGCCGAAAAACTTTTTTCTACTGGGGTTTCAGATCGGAAATTGGTGTAGTGGTTATGGTTTTTAGTTAAAAAAACTAGGTATTATAGTGCTATTTTAGTACAGGAAAATCATTAGCAAAACGTAAAAAAGCATAAAAGCTTTTTGGGCTAGAAAATTGCATCTAAAAACCCATTTCGGTTGCTTTTTCGAGAAAAACAGGGTTTCTTGGCTTCTTAAAATGCCAAAACAAGTCTTAAAAAGATTTTTAAAAGCTACGAAACGTTGTGACAGGCCGTTTTTATAACATAAATCACCTAAAAAGCGCTGAAATCCCTTTATTTTAGGAGAAGACGACCAGAAGCGGCTGTACCCCTCGCCGGCCTACGCTGGCATACGCGATGAACTATTTTCCGGTTAGTTTTCCCATTAAATTCTGTAATTTAATTGCATTAAAAACCATATTTTCCGTTTAGATTCCTCGTCGTACATTGGGGAATCGGACCTGGAGAGCATGGTCGACAACGAGGATCGGGACAACGTCTTCGAGGAGGGCGATTGATTGGTGGCCGAGCGGAGGTTACCCACATAATAATAATAAGACTTTTTGCCATATTTCTTTAATCAAAACTACGTCTAAATACGTGGAAATCGAAAAGACGGACAAATTCTAAGATTGCGAAAAACGGCCGCTTTTTCGATTCCGCGCTGATACAGTGAACGGCAAACGTTCTTTGGTGTAATCTGAAGCCCGTTATTGACCGGAACCGGTTTCCGCTTCAAAAATCAGCTTCTTCCCCATTTTTCTCGATAATTTTAAGAACCGGAAAAGGAGTTCTCTTTGAAACGTTTGAAAATGGGTTGGCAAAGTTTTCAATTTTTCTCGGATTCCGCGCGAATACAGATGACGGCAGGTTCTTTTTTTTTTTTTTTTTATTTTCGTTGGCTACTTTTTTTTTATTTTTTTTTTTTTTTTTGTTTTTCCTTTAATAATCTTTTTGTTGGGTTCTTTTTTTCCCCCTGTGTTCACTGGTGTCTTCTGTAGCCAGTTTTTGACCGGATACCAGCCGTTTCCGGTAAAAAGGCTTCAAGGAAACGGTTTCCGCTCATAAATGTTTTCTTTGCGATTCCGCGCGGATACAAATGGCGGTAGGCGTTCACAGTTGTATTCTGTAGCCCCAGTTTTTAACCGGAACAAAATGGACCGGAAGCTGGTTTCTGCGCAAACCATTTTTGGTTCGATTCCGCGCGGATACAGTGAACGGCAGGCGTTCATTGGTGTACTCTGTAGTCCGATTTTCAACCTGAAGCCGTTTCCGCTTCAAAATCAACGTCTTTTCCTGTTTTTCTTTCGTCAACCGGAAACGGCTTCTCTGTAGCAGCAACGGCAGCTCATGCTCATCTCATGCTCCCCCCGTTGAGTGCGAATCATTTATTCCGGGCCACCCGCCACAGGGGCCCCCCAACGAAAAACCCGAAATTAAAAACGCGGTACATTTCAGCGCTTTACAAAAGGAGGAGAGAGAACGGAAGGTAGTGTGTGTCGTTATTGGACTAGTGGTTGACACGTGTAGAGACGGTAGAGCATTTGTAGAGCATCCTGTGTGTGAGGAGTTGTTGTTGTTGTTGACCCGGACGTACGTCTTGGGGCCTGTTACGTCGGGTACAGCATCTCGTAGTCTAAACAATGGCATTGAATAAGTAATAAATAGAAAAATTTTATTGAACTTCGATAAAATGAAATTAGGTTACTATAGATAATTACAAAAACTAAATAAATTTAGATAAACATTAAATAAAATTACAAATTACAAATTTTTAACCCTTTGGACTAGGCTTAAAGTAGCTTTTACACGGCCTAGCTTAAACCCAGAACTTAGAAGTTTTCCTAGCCAGCTAAACAACCATTTCACTACAAGGCGCTCCTGTTGACGTTTGGTGCTTTGGCATTATCGGGGGGGGGGGGTGGGGACAAACCGATCCAGCAAAGCTTTTAGTGGGTATTTTTAGAGTATTTTCAGTAAAATTTAATTATTTTGATGTGGAAAAACCGTAACAATACTTAGAAAATTGGCCATAAATCGGCCATTTTTGTACTTTTTAATCAAAATTTGTGAGGTTTTACGTTTAGAATTAGTAAAAAACAGATTAGAAACACTTTTCTATTCAGTTTTTAAAAATTGGATCCTAGAGAAAGCTTGCCCCCTCTACAATGCACAAGCACCAGAATTTCAAAATTTTCGCTTATTTTCATAAAAACCTATATAAAATTTTAAAATTAAGTCAAACGTTAAAAGGCTTAAAAAATGGGTCAGAAATCTTAGGTTAAGTGGAGCGAAATTAAAGCAGATATTTTCGTTTTAGCATGATTTTTAAAACAACCTAAAAATAAGACTCAACTAAGTAAATAAAATTAAACTTAGTTAAAGTTTTAAAAGTTGAATTTAAAGTTAACCTTATTTAAAAAGTTTAAAAAACGGCACCTCCTTCCTTCTCCTCCTCTTTCTCCTTCTTGGGCGCCTGGACCTTGGCGGGCGGGGTGGACTTCTGGCCGCCGCCGGTGGGTGTCTTGGCCTTCTTGTTGTCCTTCTTCTCGCCCGACTTCTTCTCTTCCTTCTTCGGCGGCATCGCGGCGCGGCTGCTGGTGGCGGCTGGCGGGGGGCGAGCTTGTCGGGGAAGTTTGAGTAAAAATTTTGCCCAAACTTTTCTGTTTTATTTGAGCTTTCTCATGCTAATCTGGGGTCATTTCCGGCTTGAAAATTGCCATTATGCTTATTTACGTATAGTAAAATCATTATTTTTAATTATTCTAATTAGTTTTGTAAATTTAAACCTTTCAATCTTATTTTTTAGGTTTTTGTTGATCTATTTCAGCTTTTCCACGCTATTTTAGGGTCCCTTTCGGCCTCAAAAATCACCGGCTAGCTAATTTAGGCAATTCTAACTAATTTTTTAATTTTTCTAATCAGTTTTGTAAATTTTTAACTTTTTTTTGGTCTCTGAGAATTGTTTTAACCATTTTGCCATTTTCCGTCTTATTTAGGCCAATTTCCAGCGTGAAAATTGAAGATTGCAATCACCCAAATCTATTCTAGTAGTTTTTGCAATTTTTTGGGTGAATTTTAACTATTTTTAATGGTTTTAAAGTTTTCAATTTTCTCGCCTTTCCCGGCCCCCTTGCTACGCCGCGCCCCCGCCACCGTACCCCACCCACCTGGCAAAAAGCCAGCCCAGTCCTTGGTCTCCTTTCCATGGCGTAATCGATTGTTTTGATTCTGGTTTTTGAGGTTTCTAGATGTTTTAACTGTTTTCTTTTCAATATCTATTTTTATATTTAAAGCTACACGGTCCTAATCTCGTTTTTTACAGGTATCAATGCCCATCCGCCCCGAAGACGTGCCCAAGCTGCCGGAGCAGGGCTGCACACAGGTAAATTTTTTAGTTTTGGTCTTTGGGTTTTATAAATCGATTTTCTTAATAATTTCCATCTTTTTCAGCCCCTCTCCGACACGTCCGACTACCAGCGCTTCGACGAGATGCTTGTCCACCTGACGCCGTTGGGGTAAAAACATTTTTTGGGGCTTGAAAACTCGATTTTTAGATGCACGGTCCCGTACAACGTCGTCTACGACGGGAACGGCGACTTGTGGGTGGCCAGCAAAGGTTTGTCGAGGGTTTTATTGACTTGAAAATAGAAATTGACGGTTTTTACCCTAGAAACTTTACGAAGACATTTTTGAAGTTAGCTAGGCTTTTTTCTGTCCGCTATTTAGCTGTAATTAGGTTTTTTTTTGCTCAGAAACCTTAGCAAAAAGGTGATGCATTTTTTTCGCGAGAACTATACAAAATTTCATTAAAAATACAAGGATATCGATTTTTGCGACGAAAAGTTCCACTAAAAAAATTTTCCCACTTTTTTCAAAAGTTGTTTTTTGCTTTGTGTATAGTCTAATTTTACTAAAAACACTAATAAAACTACTATTGCGTTGTTAGGCCTTTCCGGACTTATATGGAAAAGCCCCCCCGATAACGCAAAAGAACCCATTTTATTAGCTTTTTTCCAGGCGGCCTGTTCAAGACCTGCGGCAAGAAGCGCCATCTACTGTGGGCCCGGAAGAACCCATTCCCGAAGAAACAGGCCGCATATCCACAAGTCGCCATCCACAACGACACAATCATCCACACTACCGCCGACGACAACGACAAGATGACGGAGCTGCGGTTTTTCGACTTGGAGGTGAATTTTTCTTATAGTTTTTTCTCTAGTACTTTGCTAGAAGTTTTATAAAAGACACGGGTTTTTTTGCATTATCGGGGGCCGGAGCAAGAAAATTGTTCTTAGGAACTAATTTTTTTTTAATCTATAAAGCGGAAGCGTTTTTTTGTTTAATTTCGTCATTTCCAGGGCAACCAGAAGCACGAGCAGTTCATCGACGGCCTCGTGCAGAGCCTCGCCGTGTCCCCCGACGGCACGATGTACATCAGCAAGCAGCCGCGCGGCGAGGAGTACTGTATTTACAAGTAAGCAGGATTTTTAAACGCTAATACCCTTCTGGATTTGATTTTTTAGCATTTTAAAACGATTTTTATACGTTTTTATAATACCCTTTTTAGGGCATCCTTCGACGCTCCGCTCGGCTGGGACGAGCTGTGCGCCGACTTCGACATGGCATTCCAAGCCCTGTGCGCCTACGACGATGGGCTGCTGATCAGCGCCTGCGCCAAGGTCCCCGTCAATGTGTACAGCAAGTGGGTTTTGTTCTTTTTCTTCCGGTTCTTTTGCA